GAGTGGTTTACGTGGCGCACATAGTTTCTGACTGTACAAACATGTTCATGCCCACAGTTCTAAGCTGGATAAATTGAACCCTATTATTTATTGCATAATAATACGTGGACATCAAATTAATCTTACACACATGTAATATATTATGTTTGTTGCTTAATTAGTTTTGATCCACCTTATGGAACTAATTAGTATTTCTTTCGTGCAGAATTATTTATATTGTTTTGGACTGCATTCGTGTATTACAAGAAAATAATTATTCTGTTCCATAATAACTGTCAGTTTAAAAAAAAATGTTTTATATTATTTGTCACTTTACATTTTAAATATTGCATGAGATGTATTTTTTTGTGCTCTAGTACTATTAATTCAACTCTTAGCATTAATTATCACTTATAAATCGATAAAGGTTGTTTTAGTGGATTTTACTATTTCTTTATTTATGTATAGCTTTTTTGGGTCGTTTTAAATAGTTCACCTATGAAATATGTGGGTTTTTATTATTTTTTAATTTAATTTAATTTAATTTAATTTAATTTATTTGTGATAGTAATTGTTTGTTGTGTAAAGTTAGGAACTTATTTATTAGGTCACATGCACAAAATAGTATTGCACGACAAGCAAAACTCGACATTTAATGTAACGGAAATATGTTCGACAAATGGCTACAAATTATAAAGTGCTGAAAGTGGAATTTGACATTGGTTTTATTTTACAAAAATAAATAAATTAATTAATTAGGGGCAACAAAATCCTAATTTCCACTATTCACAATTACCTTTATCAGATTTTCTTCTGTCACGTTATGTTGATTGTCGTTCATAACATTGTTAAAAAAATGACACAGCAATTCAATTATTACACCATGATTATGATATACTCAACATATATATAAATAAATAAGAGTATAATTAATCTTGATTATTTAATAATGTGATAAAAGAGAGTTACTAATTAGAGTATAATTAATTAGGTTAAAATAGAAAAAAAATGTATTAATACAGTATTAAAAATGTAAAGTGATAGATAATATGAAGAAAAAAAACAGTTATTATAAAATAGAGAGTAGTAAATAAAATACAATAGAAAGAATAAAAATATTTTATTTTTTATGTTAAAATTTAATAAAATTGA